CGATCTCTTTTCTTATTTTCCTTTTTTTGCCGAATTCAGTTTTCAAATTCCTTTTGGTAAANCCAACCCCCCTTTCCAGCTCTTTTTTGACCCTTTCTATTTCTTTTTGTTCATCGTTTTTTGCGCTTTTTTCGTTGTTATCGCTTTATTCTAGAGTAGTTCTATGAATTCCCGTCAAAAAAGGGTACCCTAAATTTTTTCGTAAACGGTGCCTTTAAGGATAAGAGCGAATGAGTGCAAAAGTTGAAGTAATGACCTACCCAATCCTTGAAGGATTTATGTTTTCATCCCAAGTTTGTGTTTTCACTAAAGATACAAATTACTTATGAGATGACTTCTGTAGGAACTGGACTGAAACCAACTCAAGGCAATCCTGATCACGCGATCATGAGATAGGACCGTCTTGACCAGAATGGAAGCTTAGCTCTATGTACTCTTGCAAGACATGTTTCCTCTATGCTGAAGAGCTTGACCAACATTATCTAAGGGAACCATCTTGTTGATCCAGGCTGACTCAGAGCTTCCAATTTGAAAGATACAAGCGGTAGAATGGGAACACTGATCGCAGGCGGCAGGTATAACTCCGTCAGTTGGAAGCAGACGGTACGCGAAAACTGCTCCTAAGAAGATAAAACATTGGAATTTGCAGCCGATACGGACTATAAGATTGGAACAGTAATGGAAGATGAGAGAACTGGACTCCGGGAATGGGTAAGAGAGAGGGATGCTCGAAATCGACTTCCACGATCTTCTGCCGGGTGTTTTGCGACTCTATAGCCAAGTAACGGGGTCTCGCCGCATTCTTTGCCCACGATTTCTCGAGATTAAGATTAGCAAGACCGTAATGGAACTTCAGGGAATTCCTCGAACTTCCTTCCGAGACTTTAGATCTGATTTTCTTTCAATTCTCCAGTTCGTTGTGAGAGTGTTCTCTAAGCATGTTTCATGTGCTTATGCCCTTGGGACAGATAGGATCGGAGGTCCCTATGAGGGCGCTGGCCTACGCACCGGTTTCCTACATTGGTTTGTAGTGTTATAACCGTTCAAATTTGTTCCTTTTAGTCTACAGTGTTCCAGCTAAGAGCATGTTAAAGAGAATGTCGATGACAACGATTTTTACCAGTGTCTAATCGTACACTCAAAATGAGGCTGCTACTGAGCACCCTTGTTTTCAAGATCGAGAAGGTATGAGTAACGATAGGCTTCAGTGAGGCATTACAGTCTTACCATAAAAAGAAGGAGAGCCCGCCGTTAGCCGTACGATACAAGATAATATTACATAGCAAGCACTGTGGGGTTTATAGTGATTTATTGCTGTTGCAGGTCTTCAAACGATCTCGTTGATCTCATTGTCTACTCGCAAGAAAACGAGGAAATACTAACTTGAAAGCTCGGATTTCCTGCAAAAATACACGGATTTTTTCCGGTGTGAACTTCTATACAAATGTTTCATTGATATTCTGAGAAAAGACAGAAGCAAGAAGGGGTTAGAAGTTTGTGACAGAAGTTTAAAGAGTCATTGTGCATGTATGACTGCAATCAGAACGCTCCGATCTCTTTTCTTATTTTCCTTTTTTTGCCGAATTCAGTTTTCAAATTCCTTTTGGTAAATTCCGAGAGATTCTTCCAGCTATGTTTTGCAAAGTCATGTTTGATATCGCGTTGGAATTGACTTATGGCTTTGATTTTTATTGTTAAAATCTTCTCTGAAGTGCTAGTTTTTCACATTGTTCTGTTTTGTGAGCGTTTTAAATTTTGGCATTATCTATCCCTGACAGCCCTTTTTCTTGAAATGTGACCTTATTTCTCCCGAAAATTGTATCTGGGCTCAAGCAAATGGGTTTGTGCAGGGTAAGTAGCCTACAAAATTCTCTTGCACTACGCTGTTACAATGCTATTCTGTTAATAATATTCGTATCAATGAGAACATTTTTATATGCCAATAAATGACGTCATTTCTCATTTCGACACTTGTTTTAAGCGCAATGTGTTATTATGTGTGTACTGCCTGATTATAGCTCATTCGGATTTGCTTCACACATATTAGGTGTGTGCATTAATTTCCGCCGCCGAATTCCAAAGGCCGTTGCGCGAACTATGTTGGAGGTTTACCGGTGAAACCTGTCATGTTCTGTAAGGTAGGGTATTGGCTACCTACTTAAGGGCAGACAGATCAATTTTGCCCGAAAATCCTGTTGCTCTCAGACTG